AGAAAAGAGACAAGGAGCTGTTCTTAGCAGATCAGTACTCCACACTTACACAGATGCATCAAGTCAGGCACAGAGAGTACCTCTGTAAACCTGCACAATGTCTTGAGTTCAGAGACACTTCTTTTGCTTGGATAATGCTTTATTTCTTCCTATTTCTAATCTGTTTTGTATTACAAATTTACTTTGCTGACATTAAAGCAGAACTTAAATCAGAAATATCAAACAAAAATCAGCTTTTTGTTTTAATATGAGACATTCACATGCCACATGTGGCTCAACTATCATCATTCACAATCCCTGATTTACGTAGATGGTCATGTCTAAACATCTGTAGGAAAGTTGATATTTGATTCACAAATTGATAAATACTGCATGTTCAGAAGAAAGTTATATATGTATCTTTAAAAATGAGATTCTCATTGCCTTTTCAAACTCCATAATTTTTGGTTATTTCCACTTAAAAGCGAGAAAATTCTTTTAATTAAGTTTGGAAAATTTTAACTCAACTTGAGAGCAGCAGTGAAACCCCATTACTGTCAAAGACTCACAAAAAATGAAGTTTTTCACATAGCCCACAATCATAGACAAGAATTAAAACTCTTACAGAGAAAATAAGAACAGTTTGCCACCACATATCATGCACCACATCTAGTTCTTGTGCCAAAATAAACAACACAGGCTAGAGAATCCATGAATATTCTGAAATGTAAACACTGAGAACATTCAAGGCTTTTTTTAAACCCAATTCTGCCTGTAATATTCTCCTTCTAATAGTCTTATCGGTGAAATCTGGCTGATAGTGGAAAAAAATGTCAACACCCACTGGATTATGCCTTTGCTTGTGGTTTTAGATTGCATTTTACTGTGATTGCCTAAGATCTAATGCTTATTTTATTGGCTCGGTAATACTACAGATCTTTTCTGTAAATTCAAAGAAGAAAATGTGTCAATCCTTCAGTTTGCCTTTCTTCCTCCTTAGGATTTATACCCACCTGCTTCCAGTCTCATATCACCACTTATTTACCTCAAGCACAAAAAACAAAATCACTAGAAACAGGTTTAAATGAAGCTAGACCCAACAAGCAAGAAATGGGCAAGCAGTTACTTCACTTTGAAATTCTACATTACAACAAGTCCTACATTTTTTCAGTTGTACACAAGTATCTTAGTACACAATAAGAGCAACACCGTGGTACTTTGTGTGCAGGAGAAGAGATAGGCATTCATTAAATCACATAGCTCCTAGACCAAGCAACAGTTCTGCTGACTGGCTGCACTACACTCTGAACATACTTTGGTGATAGCTAAAGCAAATTAGCACAGGGAACTAACCTGTAACATTGTTCAGTGGATTGTAGCAAGTATACATTACCAGTGACAAGAAAGAAGACTCCTAAAGAATATATGCTAAAAAACCATCCAAAGCCAGCACAGTAAGCAAAACTGAAAGATTCAGCACCACATCTCCATATACAAAGCTAAATTGGCCAGATAAGGCAAAATGCCATTAACCAGACATGGAAATACCAAATCTGCACAAGACTGAAGAGACAGCTGTAGAATCCACGCTTTTTCCCAAAACACAGTAAGAAAAATATTTCTTTCAGTATCACCGAAATAATGGCTCAGTAACTGAATGTCTACCAGAGGGAGAAAGCAACACACCAACAAAGAGTCCCAAGGATGTAGTCCTACCTCCCTGGCATTCAGTGAGTTCCATGTGATCTGCAGCCTTTTGAGTGACCCTACCCAAGGCACAGAATATGCCTCACTTCCAACGACTTAAGAAACTGGTGATAATAGACACCAGAGCTTAGAAGCATTAATAAGAATAAAGTGTTTATTCATTTAGTTCTCTATTGATTTTCTAATGCTATTTATCAGATGAAAACAAAAGAAGATGTCCCAGGTGGTGTGCTGTTCATGCTGTACAGAAAATTGGCAAATGCTCTGAGAATATCAAAACTGAAAACCACCATCTCTGTACACAGAAGGCTCTACTATTGTGATAGATGCAACTTGAAAATCTTTGACACAGTAATTACATGTGATCCTAAAACCTAGAAAAATTTGACAAGTTTCATCATATCTACATACATTTCAAATGTAGTTGGAAAAAAATTACCAATTTGCACTTTTTATACTGCAGATGGAAAGGATCCTCTAGATAGTGAGTGTACCTGGCTTTAAACATCAATAAAATTAATCACAAAGTTGATGACATCTAAGTGATAGTCAATATTTAATCAGCACATTAAATTCAACAAGGAGATGAGATTAAACAATTTCATTAGCAGAAAAAATTAGAAAATCAGAGAAAATGTTTTGCTAAAAATGCAGATGCCTACATGCCTAAATATTTCTCTTCACAGCAAAGGAAGCTAAAAAGTATCACGGTTTTTACAGGAAAAAAAAGTTCAATATGTCAAAAGCTGAATTCCTCTTCTGTTTTGGTTCTACATATTAGTTTCTCAAAAGGTTCTGGAAATGAAAGATACCATCTTCATCAGTGGTTTTGTTTTGAAGCTAAGGCTTCTCCTTTAAAATACAGAAAAATATCTGCAAAGATACTGAAACCAACAGCCATGCAGTGGATTTTTAAGCTATCTTCCAGAACACACTCCATCAATATGGTCATTGCTCTTCACCAGGGATTCTCTACTCTGTGTCTAGGAAAATAAAGTGTTGTTATCTTTATTAAAAATCTATATCTTGAATTGGTTCATTTTGAAAAAGTAAATTAAGAGGAAACAGCTGCTAAAAGAAAAGGGGGGAAAAAGGGAGGAAAAATGATGTCAAATTTAGTGAAATTTGGGCCCTGTAAATATCAATGATTTGTAGGCATGTACTGGCATCCACTCAGATCTTCAATACAATGCATGTTTTCCATATGCAAATTACACATACTGCTAATTCCAATATAAACATTGTATATACTCACCTTTCCTCCTCCTTTTCCTTTTCTAGTTGTAAGTACCACCTTCCCTTGTCATGACAAGTAGTTTAGTCAAGATATGCCCACAGGATGCATGCATGTGTACAGACCTATGCACCTAAACAGCATCCAGGGCCCAGAGACAAGCCTGTTTTGGCTGCAGATGGTTAAGAAATCAAGGGAAATAACTAACCTTTCACAGGTTTAATTTTGAGTATTTAAAATCTAAAGTTTTCAAAGGAAAATCCTAGCAACCTGGTAACTTCTAGAGGTGCCAGCCAAGAATGTTCTAAATGTGCTGGAGTTACTCTTTTGCAGTAATTGATCTCAGTCCAACAGCTGACCTCTCTACACCCAGCACATTAATCTACCTTCTAGTCCATCTAGCTGGAGCAGAAAGTTGGATCCATTTAGCTCAGCTAGGTACTCTATCTCCCATTTCAGGTAAGTCAGATCCTGGAGCACACAAGACCAACTCCACAGCTCACAAGACTCCCTGTCTTCTTCTTTTTTGATTGCATGAGACACTAACACCATTTCTGCCACCACACCTGGCCCCAGAAAGAAGCTGAGCACAACATCAACAATGATATGAGGCCACAAAACACACAAATGACACTAAATGCTGCACTTGCTGGGCCTGCAGTGGTCCCCACCATGGCTGTTCTTTGCTGGCAGCTGCAATCAGAGAATGTTACAGCCTGCGCACAAGGCAGTGAAGAAAAGGACACTCAATGGACAACGACAGAAGGATAAAAGGTATAATTTCTCCTACTGGTCACATTCACTTGCAGCTTTTCCCACTCAAATCAGCTCTCCATGAAGATCCCCTTGCTCCCTTTCCTTCCTGCCTGCCGTTTCCCACTCTGCTTCCAGAGTCCAGCAGATGTGACATGTTGGAAACACCCCATTTCTGCCCCTCATACACAGAGGAGGAGAAATCTCCAGCTAGTGAGTGAAACCTTTCCCCAGCTGTCCCAGGTCAATATGTAGGCAGCAAAACTGTATGGCAAAGGAAGGCAAAGGCAAAAAAGGCAAGGAGATGACCTTACAGTTATATAATTTTTCCATTTTTTTTCTAGATCCATATACCTGAAAAAAATATGCTACAGTATACCACAGACCTAAGCTTGATATAACTCATTTGTATAGCCTTTAAAGTGAGCTCAGGAGAATTTTATTTGCATGAAGAACAGAGCTGTTGCTAATTTGTCTCAAGTAGCATGCAGGTCTGAATTTTCTTCCAATGGTCCTAATACTAGTATTTTTGAAGGAAAATAAATACTTCATGAACTATAAATACCTGAAAAAAAAATTCAAGTAGGTGAAATTGAGCTATGAATGTCTATTAAGCTTGGAAATAATATTTAGTTCAACAAAGGCACATGCATCCTATATATTACTTGTCTGCTATTTATAATCAGTATTCTATTTCCCTGCACTTGAATAATGGTATGCTCTTAGATAATCCAGAGAAAAACAAACATATTTACATGAACCGGTGAAGGGCTTAGACACCATATCATTTGTGGCTGAGGTCACTTGGCGTGGAAGAGATGGAATGGAGACCTCATTGGGGTCTTCAGCTTCCTCGTGAAGGGAAGATGAGGGACAGGCACTGACCTCTTCACACGTGTAACCAATGGACTCAAGGAAATGGTATGAAGGTGAGTTGGGGGAGTTTAGGCTGGATATCAGGAGTGTGGTTGGGCACTGCAACAGGCTCCCCATGGAACTGGTTCCAGCACCAACCCTGTCTGAGTTCAAAAGGCATTTGAACAAAGCTTTTGGGCACATGGTGTTACTCTTGGGGTGTCCTGTGCAGTGCCAGGAACTGGACTCCATGATCCTGATGGGTCCCTTCCAACTCAGGATATTCTATTATTTTATGAAGTTCCCAGAACTATTCCATGTGGGGCAAAAGACCACTGAACAGTTAATATCTCCACTGAAAACCTCCTTTGGAGCACTACTGTCATCCTGAAAAGTATTTTGTTAAAAAGCATGTTTGTTTTTCCTGGGCTCATGATTATTTAGGAGTAGTTTTATGTTAAAAGAATATTACCGCAGTTCGGGACCTTCATATCCAGCAGGGCTGTCCTCTTATTGTTGTCATCTATGCAATATAAGTCCTGAGTTTCTGTGTAAAACTTGGTCTCTTGAAATTTCTTGATCCACATGATTTCACAGGAACACTTGAATGGATTGTCACCCAATATCCTAGAGGAAAAAACACCAATTTATTTATAGGGTGAAACATGCCAAGCATATAGAAAAAAAATGAGGGCCAGGGGGGCTCCAAGCATGCATCTGGGTGAAAATATAAATTAGTTAGGAGGGTTAACAAAGGCAAGTTGAACCCTTTCCTTAAGAAGTGTAAGACATGCACCTTTGGTAAACTCAGTGCAAAGTAAACTGCCAAGTGGTAACAGTTTCCATGCAGGGAATTAAAAGCTGCATGCACTGAGAACCCAGAATATCATAGGCAAGAGAGCTCACACAGGGGATTTGGCTACTATTTCCAATTCATCCGTGTAAATCAGGAGCCCGTGGAGAATGGCCGCTCAAGAAGCTCCATTTTATTTCATAAATCAGGAAGAGATTAGAATTCATCCCTTCTACACCTGAGCCACCACTCAGTTACTTCAGAAATGGTTTACTGCTGTGGGGTGGTAAATTCTTTATAGAGTCAGTCTTGGATTATATGCACACTCTAACAAACTTTAATCACAAAAGAGGATTTTTCCTACTCTTTCAAATTCATCTGCTACAACACTCTAGAAAAACCTCACAGTAAAACCGTAGGTAATATCATGAAGAAATACTAAAAATGAAAAAATGAAAAAATGGCCCTGAAACAGAAATTGATATGGTACCGGGTGTAGAATTTAAACCACAGGTTAGCAAACTTAACAAATTCTAGTTTTACAATTTGATAAATATACACAACTAGCAATTAATTATATGCATGTTAAACATGTTCTGTGGGAACAGAAAAATATCTCCATAATCAGTGACCAGCATTATTTTTCCTTCTACTGGCATACATGAGATCAAATAAAGTGGGTGAGGAAGTGTCTGTTTAAGGCATTTCATTATCAGGAGAAAAATCATTCTTAACAAAGTTTCACAGGTATTTTTAATGTACAGAAACTCATGTTTCTTCCAGAATCTATGCTCATAACTGCCTCCTGAAGACATGAAGCGTGCAAATCATGAAAGAAACAATCTTATTAGAGCCATAACCTGTTTCTCCAAAAGCCACCTCAAGTTATTTGAGGAAAAACAACTGCAGGGATCCTCAAAAGTGTCTGAAGGAGCAATCTGTATTCACAGAAATCATCCACTGGACCTTACCATCCAGCATGAACAAAAATTGTTTGCACAAGACATAGTATGAATACAATGATTCCTTGGGTCAAAGCATATGATGTGCATTTTCAAAACAGTGACATTTACTTCCATCTCCTGTTTTATTCTACAGCTTCTGGTAAAGAGAAATTTCTCTTGACCAATGGCTGAGCAGCCTTCTCGTGCTTTATTTTGTGCTAAACCCATCTAGGGAGTTAGGCACATCATTGGCAGGATGCTGGACCCATAATGACCCCCTACAGACACTCGTGTGAAAAAAAAAAATTCTGACCTGTGGACAGCAAATTCCAAGTCTTTACCTTGTTTGCAGTAATTTTATAGCTGCAGCTCATTTGTCAAGAAGAAACCTTCCAAGGTGGCATCTCCTTCTCTGTAATACCTGGTGACTCTCCTCTACTACACCTTATTCTAAACTTCTCATCCCTTTAGTTTTGATTTGCAAGAGTGCTAACAAGACAAACACACTTACCTATCATATTTAGGGGAAATTCTTCAGAAGCTATTTATGGCAATATTAGTATCCCAGATTCACCTACCAACACTCTTCCTTCTCTCCTGTTTCTGATCTTCCAGCTATGCCTTAAACACTTGTCAACAGAATTGTTCAAACATACTGATTTTATCACTGCTTCTCCTCCTTTCAGGCTCTACTGTTATCCCTCCACCTTTTTTCCCTCATTTTCCCCACATCTGTTTAGCTCACTTCATCACAACATCTATTTACATAACTTCAGTTTGTCTAGCCCTACACTCCCTTTCCCAAGCCCACAACACTCTACCTCAATTTTGTATCTCCTTTCTCTCTCAACTTGTACATCATCATCATGCATTGCCTCCATACCTCAAATACTACTCTCTTCAACCTTCACACTATCCATTTTTCCCGTATCTCGCTCACTCCCACTACCTCTGCCCTGCTTCTTCATGCAGAAGCAACAGAACAACAAAGGGCGTGGAACAATGGGAAAGCTTTGCAACTAGCTAGTATCCTCATTAGAGAGTTCAGCAACTGTCACGTTGAAAAAAAAATTCCAGTGAACAGTGTTCCCTGGGCCATAAGGAAATTATACCAGCTTAATTATCAACAAAATATACCTAAAGGACATAGTCTTTTTGTGCCACTGAGATTCGCTCATTTCACTTCTCACATGCTGAAGTTCACCAAAAGAGGCCTAGGATTGCATGTCAGGTGCTTCAGACTTGGACTGGCACTTTGGAAAAATTCTGACTCTGAGATCCAAAAGAGCAACCTCCCTCTCCTCTGTAACCCCAGCTCTCTCAGAATTCCTGCAGGCTCTCTGCATATTAACAGAGAATGCACAGCATGACCAAAATTTTGGAACGTATATCAGTAAGAAAATATGGCAGATGTAACAGGGAATAAAAATATCTGCTATAAAATATTTCTTTTATAAAAATAAAAAATATAGCACTGAAAAAAAATCGATCAAGAAATGTTTACCAGTGCTTTCATTGCTAAATGATTATATAAAGCACACCAAGAATTTGAGAAAATAAAGATACTCTTAAATAGCCAGCCACAAGCATATAAGCTGTGTAGCCACTGTAAGAATATGAGAGACAATCTTTGTATGAATATATGCAAGAGACTGTATTTTCACAAGTTCAAATATTCAAATAAACACCAGTAGTTTTGTGTGAAGTAATCTCACAAAAAAATATATCTTAAAGCTGAAAGATGAGCCTATTTTCACCCCTACGTTGCTAAAATAAATACCTAACCTTCTGGAAGCCCTGGAATGAAAATTTCTCTGCATTTAACTGTTCAGATTTGATGCTTTCTTTGGACTAGAACTGCACTTCTAATTCCTGATGGACCTCTGCCTTCAAGAGAACAAACTTCGAAGTGTTATTCTCCCATTCCAGCCAAAAATAAACTTATATTTTAAGAAATGACAACTTACAGATCAGACAAACCCAGATGGCGAAAAGGCTTCTTGGACAAACTTGAGAGCTTGTTTCTGGATAAATTTCTGTGGCAAAAGAAAAAATTTGCATTAATTAGAACTGTTTCTTCTTACACTAAAGATACAGTTTGTGTCTCTTGAAAAAGCAATTAAAAAGTAGAACCAGCTCTAAGAGCCCTTTGACTTCAGTTGTAAAAGGGCAGTGTCCAGTCTAATTTTATGATTTGAATGTTTTCAAGGACTTGAACGCCAAATACATTCAAAATCAAACTCAACAAGGACCAATATTTTCACTTTTAGCACTTTTTCAATTGCAGAAAAGCAGCAGATTTAACTGTGTTTCAAAAGTATTTTGTAAAGTCCAGGTGTTAATTATATGCTCAATTTATTCATGTGAAATGGGTGTATCCCTTTCTTTGATGCTGTACCAAACTCTACTCATATAAGCCCTCCTCACATGCTAGCACACATCCACATCAGAACTCTTTAGTTGTTCTTTGCAAATTGCATGTGCAATATGCACCCACACGGAAGATCAAAAGGAAAACTGTAAAATGCCTGTATTGGGCTTTTTTATGTCAATTAAGCATTTATGGTTTCCAGTGGTAATTAAGTAAAAGGTCTTCTACCATTATGCAGAGCAAAGAAATGTCAGTCTGAACCAGAAATACTCCTCCCCTCATGGGCTTACAAAACTGCTTTCTCCACCCCAAAGCAAAAAAATGCTGTTTTTGTATAGTCTTATCAGCCTATGAATTAAAGATAGTGAGAGCAGTAAACTGTTTAACTGCCAGCAGTAAAGCGCAAATCAGTGTTACGAGCCAAAATACCATGAATTTTATGTGGTATTATAAAGGCGCCATAGGGGCTCCAAACTTAGCGTTGCATTGAATCTAAAACCAGGGATTAATTTTTTTTTTATTTTTTATCTGACTAAATAACACAGTGTTTACTTCCCAACTTTCAGTCATTGATCTTTGAGTACAAGACAATTTTCACAGAAATTACAAGTTGGATATTGTACAAATGTTTAGAACAGAATCAAAGAGATTATATTTGTATTTCACCACTTTTTTGATTCCTTCTGGCAAAGAAGAGCCTGAAGTTTACAAACTAACTGGTCCTTATGTGTGAGAGCTAAACACAGGAGCTACTATTTCATTAGTCAGGTGAATTGCACTGCCCTATGGCAGATGCTGGTGGAAATGTCTCATGGACTCTGATCAGATAAATCAATATTAAGGCACAATTTGCATATAGAAGAGAAGTTATGTTTAAGCAAATACTGTAACTATGTGGTTTTTTTCCTAGTATGCATATGCTCTGTGCTGGGAGGCTGAACAAAAGCAGCTGGATCCTCATACTGACTTGGGTTTTTGCCTCCAACACAGAAGCACATGAAACCCCATCCCTCCATGGGAAACTCTTCACTCACCACACAGGGGAATTGCTTCTTTCCCACACTGACAAGCAGCATATATGGAGGCCCCTGAGGTACTGCCAGGCAAGGCATTCACCTGCGTCTCTTATCTGCGTTACCAAATAAATCCTACCTTTCCCAAAACACAACCAGATATACAGTGGGTTTTACCTGCAGACCACTGCTATAAATTTATCACCTTAAGCAATACTTAGACAGTAAATTTAATTTTATATATATATATATATATATTTTTTTCATAAAGGACCATTTTTAATTGACTACAGAGATGCCTACTGCAGTTTCCTTAACTCATGTCAAGTGAAAAAGAATCAATGCCAGGTTTATTTTGAAGTAGTTAATGATCCCACTTTCACTTTCATAGAAAGAGAATATAAATTAATTCCTCAATTCAACCACACATAAAAAGACCACAGCAAGCAGCCCAAAGAAAATGCATCTGAGGCTCTAAAGGGCTTTTTTCTTATAGAAAAACAAAGTCAAGAGTACAGAGCCTGGCCCTGAAGCTAAACTTAAGGAGAAGACACAGATTTAGTCAAAAGTATGCCTGTATTTTCATGAAAAGATCAAGCTCACTTTAAACTTGTTAGCCCTAATTCAGCTAAAAGCAAATCAGTGGCAATATGAGTAGAACAAAAACAGACTGAGAAACCACATAAAGATTTACAGAGCTAGGAACATGGACAGAGTTCTATCACCTATTGTGCTTCTGAAAAGGAGAGGCAAGAAAGAGAAGGAGGGAACAGATCTAAGGAGAACTGGGGAAAGAGGTGAAGACATGACCATTTTGCTACACTCAGTCTCCCTCCACAGGCAACAGCCTGCTCTGCCTATGGCTGGAACCAGCCCTGTGTGCAAACAAGGGGAAATCTGCAGCAGGGCTGATCTCTAATGGTTTCCTTTGGCTGCTTTACCTAAACCTGAACAGTGTAGAGATACAGACACATTTTAATACCTGGAGCTGTATGTATACACTACACTCACAATCTATGATTCAGCGATGCACTTAGATGCAGGCTGGCACATAACAACAACTATATTTTAAAGTTTTTGTGAATAGGCACTTGCTTTGAAATGTTTTTACATTTAAAGGCACTGACAATACACCAGACGTGTATTACACAGGTCCATTAAATTACTGTTAGCAGCAGATAAGCTTATAAATGACAACACTACTAAAATGAGGCTGTTGGCTAGCTTGAGTCTATGGGCAGTGTAAACACCAAAATTAGCTGAGCAAAGCTATTAATTACACTTTAATAGCATCTATTGGAACATTTATTTTACTGTCATTTATGTTATTACTCAAATCTTCTCATGATAGATAATTTTATAAAGAAACCTTCTAAAATTAGAAATATACCTTTTATATAATATAGCTCCTTAACAACATTAAAAGATTTTTCACAGAACAAAAAAGAAAGTTGTATCATAGCAAAATTAAGGCTTATATAGTTACATCAAGCTTCAGAAAAATGCTTTTTAATTTTCCTTATGGGATAGTAAAAAATTTATTTCCAAATAAAATGTAAGACTTCTTAATAAAATACTTCAAATATAATGTAAGACCTGTACTCATACATTACCCTTGCAAAATTAAATTCCTTTAGCTCTTAATAGTTTTCACTGTCCCAACCACAACAGGAGCTATACTTCCTCCATAGGCAGTCAACAGGATTTTTATTGCTGATGACAACAAGCCGTGTTTCACTAGGGCTTTCAGAAACATTTTAGTGTACCTAATGACTTGCCAAAGAAAACAAACAAATGCATTTTGCAGGGATAACAGATCAGCCTTAGTAAAAAATACCTCCATACTTGCTGCTTTGTCCTATTCATCTAGAGCAGCTGGTGCCACTTAATATTTTCCATCTTATCTAGACTTATCCTGTGTCTGCCAACATAACTAAATCCAACCAAACGAAAACATAGTATGAGACTGGATAAGCTCCTGGTTTATAATGTAAGTATTCTGCATCAAGAATTCATCTCTATCAACTGAACAGATGTCAAGTTAGTCTAATTTGTTTCTAACAAGGAGATTCATGAGCTACACCTCTACTAAAGTCTGCTTACCAGCAAAATCATATTCCCAGTTTGACTGTATGCTCAAATAAAGCTCTTCCTATGGCTGAAACACTTCAAAGCGATCTTATCCAAGTGGATTCTGTAAAGTCTAGCAGTTCACATATGTAGAGTGATACTTTTCCCTTAAGTGGTAACTTTGATAGGGTCTCTCTGTTCTGTTCAACAGACAGTTTTCTAAAAACTTGTATACCTGTGTAAGTTTTGCTTAGAAGCAAACACTGGAGACAGACATACTTTGTGACTGTATGAAACCCATTTCCCAAAGGCAACATGCAAAAATGCCTCTCAAGAGCTCATACCAGTTGTCACATCTTACATGGTGTCTACCTGCCCAGACAGCTGAGAAAATCTGAAACTCTATTTATCTTTCTCCAAACTAAACTCATTATTTCTCACACTATATTCATGGTCATGGAGAGAACTGATTGCTTTCTTCATCATAATTACTCTTATTTTAAAGATAAGACGAGCACAGAAGCATAGAATTATAAAATAGTTTGGGTTGGAAAGGACCTTTAAGAGTGATCTAGCTCCAACTCTCCAACATCTTCATCTACATGAGCTTGCTCAGAGTCCTGTCCAACCTAACCCTGAATGCTTCCAGGGCTGCATCATCCACCATGTCTCTGGGCAACCAGAGCGCCTGTGTTTCATCACCCTTATTGTAAAAAACTTCTTCCTTATATCTGTCTTTGATTTTCAAATCATTATTCTTCATCCCATTGCAATGATGTATGTACCTTTTCAACTGGCTCTTTATTGCACTGATCATACTCAGGCTCTGAGCCTCCTTATATTATTTGCCTTACAAGCTCCTTATGGCTCCACTGCTCTTCTCTGTAGCATTTTTCAAGATGAGTAGATTTGGTGTCCTAATCTATATACAATATTCCAGTAGATTCCCTCACAGCAGCTAATGCAATGGGGAAAAGATGTAAAAATGTAACACAATATTCCTTCTGATCCCAGACTTGAATTTGTTTTGTTCTGCTTCATTGCACAGAGAATCTCACTTCTTTCCCAGCAGAGTCACTAAATCTTTCTCTGCAAATATATCCCTCAGACAGCATGTTCTTATTGCATATTTCCACAGCCAGTGCACATGCACTTGGCTTTATGGAGTTTCATAGTTTACAGCCATAATTCACTGAGCAACTGTTATAGAGGCAAACACTTCAATTTACTCTGGAACATAGTTCCCCTATATTACCAACTGATTATAGAAGTTGTTCTTTATTAATGACTATATGAAGTAATATAAATTTCACAGGTTCCCAAGATCTGGTTCACACTCCTCTGGTGACTGTTCCATATTAAGGACAGCAATTACAGTCTAGGCAGAAACAGATATTCATGTCCACTTCCTTACACAAATTAATTGCTGTTCTTTGGAAAACACAGGTAAGAAAGTGATTCCATCTCGTGAAGAAAGCGATCAAATCAAACAGGACCCTGTGTTCTGTTCAACAATTCTTTCCTTTTACAACGAAGTATCTTACAAAGACAAGGTTTGTCATTATGTCTTCTAAATCTCACTAGGATAAAAGCAAAGGGTTTGGTTTAATGCTAATACATCTTAGCGTTCATCTATTGAAGATGTATGGACTAAAGCAGACACCTGGAATATTTGGCTAAATATTGTGAAGAACTGAGCCATTCATAGTGTGATCTCAGTGTTTTATTGACCCATGTAAGTACCAAAGTGAGCCACTCTATGTCTGTCCCACTATAAGGCACAAAAGTTGTAAAAAAAGAACTCTGATCAGTTCAGCCTTTGATAAATCTAAAGCATAACAAATCTAGAAAAACAGTCAAAAAGCTGCACAGGTACAAAATCTGCTTCTTGTAGGTCATGAACTACAAATCACATTTGGGTGTGAAAGCAACATCATTCCTATATTCTGCCGTGGGTGCATTAGCTCTGATCTTGAGTGAGCTTTTAAAGTGAATCACCCCTCGGACTTCAGTTCACAGCCATATCACAGTCTCTGGGCACATATACTGATCAAATTATATTAGATGTGCTCCATGCATGCATCTCCTGCACTGCAGCTGCTTAAATATATTCAATTCAGCTCATCGAGTCAGACTAGAGCTAGTCAAAACCATGCCACTGAGTGTGATGCACTGTGTGGACATCATACCCTCAAGAGACACACTCTCTGTGCTACATTACTTATCAAAAAAGACACAGCTGAAGTACACTGTTAGAGACAGGATAATGAACTGGATGGTCTTTTCACACATTATGTTTTTATGATCCACTAGTTCCTTACCATATATATCATACTGAAGGGCAATTAATGATAGAAGACCATTATAAGTCTGTCTTGTTAAAATATTTTTTAATGAAGTAAATGGTAAGAGATAGAAATAAATTAACAATAAATAAATGAACATGAGTTGGGCCGTTTTGACTTAGAATGCAGACACTGTTCTTACTCACATGTATTGTAAGTTCACATTTTTCACAAAAGCATGACGGGACACGAATCTTAGGCCTGAATCCACCACGGTCCTAGGAAAAGTAATAAAACTATTAGAATGTTTAATCTAAAATATAATGGGAAGTGTAATGATAATACCTATTAAAACAAGACTTTGGATGAAATCTCCGCAAGGATCAGGTGCGAGATTTACAACTTTGCTCAGTAATATGTGAAGTTAGGCATACAGTTTGATAAGGTCTCTACATGCTTCTATAAAAGAAACACAGAAAAAACAGACGTATAAAATGTATCCCATACTCACAGATTTTTAAGTCCAACATAAAATCCAACTTCATTGTCATTGATACTTTCCAAATTTGGCTGGTTTGCGATGTAACTGTTGAAAAAGCAAAACCAAAATAAGTATGTAAGTGGATGCTTCCATGTCTTTGACTTAGAATGCAGTTCAGAAATCATGCACTGATGTATGGAAGTCAGTTTTGTTTGCTGACCTACTGCAGTTAGTTCTAAGTCCTAATTAGACCAGCTGCAGAGCAAAAGTGCTCCTTAAAATCTTCTTCATCATTTAAATGGTACTTTGTGGGACAGGGAGCAGCTTATTTTTACACAGGGGAAATGATGAAAGCAAGTCAACCTGAAGGCCAAATAAAGCTGCATTACAATGTCACCATTCTCCAAGACACATGTCCTTACCTCATGGATTTAACAACAACAAAGGGGACAAGTTTAAATATAATACTGGAGTTATCACCACTTACAATGAGAGACAATCATATTTCCTAGTCTTTTCCCTCATGTTATTAACTTAATCACTTCTTACTCTTACTTTTTCCCTGACACAAAGTAATTTCTGTTCTTTTTACAAGGTGTGGCAATAGGAAAATTGAGAAAAGAGAGGTTGTACTTCACAATGTTATACACCCAAGCAGAAATTAAGAGAAGAGAAACTGCTGTATCAGATTAAAGTACTAAACCTACTCATATATCCTTAATATCTGCCTAAAAGGATGTGGGCAATTCAAGTTCTGCAAGAACTGCAACCCAGTTCTCTGTATTATGACCATGTGTATCTGAACACCCAGGGACATCCCACAGACTGCAAATTAAAATGTTCACAACAAATGTATCATTACTTCTTCTACAGGAAGAAAAAAGTTTCACACTGCAAATCATACAGTCCAGGAAGAAGAAATCAGTGGAAACTGCAATTTTTCTATGAGCAGAAAAGTACACCTGATTTAAGGGATGGCTTGTTGGAGTCCACACATTTCAACATATAAGCCTGGTCCCAGAAAAACTTAAAGAGAGATTGACATGTGTTTGCACCAAGCATCACAAACTAAACAGATGGGGTTCTCCTAAAATGAATGAGTCTTTCTTTCTAAGAAGAAAACTTTTCTTTATTCTAAGCAGTTTTTAGAATTTATTTAAAGGGAATTCTGGTCAGTTAAAAGAAGGCATATTGCTCTTCCAAAGGCAATCCATGTGCCTGAGCTGGTTGTGTTGGAAATTCACAGTGTTTCTAAATCCCAACAGAAGTCTGACATTCCATAAGTTGGGTTGGGCTCTCCTCCAAAGATGCAATGCTGACTTGGGCTATGCTCTCACCATGTACCAGGAAAAGTAAAAAGTTTCCCCTAATGGCATCCATTGTCCCTTGGGAAAAAGAAGGGCAGTAAAAAGACAATGCATGATGCTAGATGGAGCACATTACTAAGCATCATATGACAATGACTGCTCTGCGAGACTTTTCAGAATAAGATTAACACAGGGTACCCATTAGAAGATCGGAGTGCTTTGTTTTTTGTGCTTCCTTTCCTGAATTTTTAAGATAGCCTTCAGTAAGGCTCACCTTACTAATCTCAATACTTACTAACCTATTTTGTTTGGTTGGGTTTTTTTGTGTGTTGGCAAGTTTATGTATTTTGCCAACAATTCCTTCATCTAAGATTCCTGCAAGTCAATGAACATACTTCCTCTAAACATGCTCTGAAGAACTCAATCTTAAGTATCATCCATCTTTGTCACTTGGACCTCACAACGCTAGAATAAAGTTATGCAAGAGGTTCCATACTTTCATTTCAAAGATACCTTCCTCATCCTTTCCTCAGTTATCAAACAACAAGGGATTGACAAGGAATTCTGTCAAGCTCAGACAGAGATAGGGAAATCACATAAAAGCAGGAATTGAGGAAAATGGACAGTAAAACACACAGTGTCAAGAGACTCAGATTTAAAGAAAAGAAACAGAATAACTAGCCGCATTTGCTAAAAATTAGGCCATCAAAAAAAACGCAAACCGGACAAACACTGCCAAAACGCAGATCCATCACTTAAATACGCATATCACTCATCCAAATCTGACACTGCAATTTCAATCACACAAACATTTAACCAGAACCATTCATCACAGGAAAGTCCAGAACCTGTCATAACTTACAGTGTTGCACAAAAATTTGTTTGTGTATTACACCCTGTTTTAAGCCTCAGTGTAAAATGGTTTGCTCCGCTGAAGCCAATGAAGCTTCACAATTTATTTCAGACAAAATTCTTAGCATGAGCACACAATCTATATAAAAAGATTGGTATCAGACCATCAGGGAACAGACAAAACAGATTATATTTGGGAAGTAGTAATATGAGCTTCTGGTATCTTCTTTCCTTCCCTTTTTGCATCCCTTAGAAGAAACCCTAGGTGGGGGAAAGCTGGGTATTCTTTAATCTAAGCTGGTACTGGTTTCTCTAAAATGAATGATTTATAATTCCATTTCCTAGCTGAAAGAACAAAAAGAAGACATTGCTTTTTCACAACCATCCCGTTTGGGACTAAGAAGACCTTTCGTCTAAGTGTAACTAACTCAAAAACTACTCTGCAATACACTTATAAAAACACTCTCAGTACAGAGCACAACAGTAAAGCAAAGTTCATGCAGTTGGAAATCTTGAAAAAAAGAGTGGACAGACATAATTTACCATAAGCAGGCCACATCCTCTTATACTTCCTTAATCAGTTAACAGGTCGGTTTCAAGTTAAGCTTTTACAGCTACGTCATAGCCATAAGAAAGAAAAGAGTAGAATGATGTAGTTATACCCTATAAGGGAAAGTTGCTCTTCTGTTTAATTTAGAGTGAGAGCTGAAATAAAACCTCTCCCTAACTGAAGTCTATTTTTACCTTCTTCACAACAACTTTACCTTAATGTTACTTATCATCAAACATTAATACTCTAAAAGCTTTGACTTGCAGTGGGCGATGCTGAGAAATGTAATTTGCCTGCCTGCCCTTAAGAATATCCACCCTATTCTTTAACAGAACATTTTTACTGTAGCACAAAAGAAAAACATACTGACTCATGGCTGGCTGAAGTCACGTGAAGAGCTTGGAAGCTCACACTGCACACCACAGCAGTGTTGCACTGCCAGAACCTGGCTGGATAGCACCAGACAGACCACTCGTATGAGTTCACAAATACTGGCTGCTGCCTCTAAATCAAGCCCTCAGCTGCCTACAAAGCTATTGGCTTGATTATACTATAGCATTCTGCATCTCCTTCAGTGAGTAATCAGTAAACAATAATTGCCTTCAGCTCTCTAATTTAATCTCCCCCTTGTAAATTACCGATTAATTCTAATAAAGGCATTCAGAATCACACACCTAGGTTGCACATTGCAACCTATAATAGCATGTTCATCTTGCCACACTTCTGCAGCTACTGAATAATGTCACACACTCCCACTTCACCACTGCTACAACATTTTGGAAACAACAGTTTAAAATCCTAATCTATAAGAGTCACCTCCTGCAAGACCTCCTTCGAGAGGGTGGTCTTCACTTACACTCATAACAAAAGTGAAAGGATACAGATTATGTTTAACATCAGTGTAGCAACTTCTGAACTGCAATTAAGCATTAAGAAAGTGGGTTCTGCTGGATTTAAAGCCATCTAGATTACTTTATTCCTTAGCAATTTAAAGAAGGGATTACATGGCAACTTTTAAATCTTTTCCTTAACCTGAACATAAAAGGCCAGCAGAAATATACTTTCTTAACTTACTCTATTTCCTCCTGCTTAATGTATGTTAAAGTATACTACTCCATCTGGAGCTGTAAGGACATGCAGGAAAAAAAAACTAGCACATGCTAGTTTTAACAACATAGATGCAAGCAAATAACACTGCAGTGCAGCTCCAGAAGTATTTCTGTTGCCAAAAAACTCCCTTTATGGAAAGCATATTTTCTTAATACTCAAAAAAATAAATCAATTATATGTCTAGCTCTAGTTCATACAGCTGGGAAATAAAGATTTTAAAATTAATAAACACTCACTGGTGAAATGTTTCTGAACTTTGTGAAAATTTTATATTTCAAGCTGTTATTTCACTAAGTCTTTAGGGGACAAAGGCAGCACAATTCAGATGAATTACCATTTAATGACAGGTCACATATGTCCCTAGTCTAGACTACTGTGAAAGCTGTAAGTTAGCATTGAGAATTAAACATCGCAAACTTCCCCAGTGCTGTATCTTCTTACAAACTCAAATGTCATACCAAGTTCATCAAAAGGTAGCCTAAACCTTAGAGGCATTTTCAACAAATGTGGGCTGATTCATTGTTATTCATTAAGATCACATAAAAATTGTGAACTTGATACAATACTTGATGAAACCTGGCATATTCAACTGGGTGACATTTGTAGACCTTCTGAAAACAAGTTTAAAATAATGATGAAGTGCTATGAACTCACAGTTGGACAATGAAGAACAGAGCTATACCAGTTGCATATCAGGAATCTAAACTTTTAGACAGATGTAGGCATCAATGCTATAATCTCTGCTCAATCAAGAAATCTTCCTGCAAATGACCAAGCTTCCTCTAGGAAGGAAACTCCTAACAAGCTATGAATGTGATATAGACATTTAAACCCAGCAAGTATTCTGCAGATGTACAAGCTTACTCCAATTATTTTATTCTATTTTGCTTCCTCCACCTGGTACTGTAAGTGTGAGATTTAACAAGGATAACTTCAGGAAACAGAACCTCTACTGCTAGAGGAGCATGCCATAACTCAGGAAAGATGCAGTGTGTTAAGACCATCCACAGTGGACTTACCCAGCATTCAGAATTTTACCAGTACTTTACTCCTTCCATGGCTGCCTGATGCCTCATGACAAATTCTGAGCAAGTGCTGCAGTGTTGTTTTTTCTTTTATTTTAAACTGTGAATCACCCCGAATTTCACAAAGAATGAAAAACTGGTTGCCACTATCCCGGGTTCCCTAAGGGTTTTTTCCTCACATTTAGAGTATTTAACCACAAGTCACAGAAGACTTCAGGAAATAGCTCTCCCCGTGCCAGTACAGCAGTTCTGGAGACAACATAATTAGCTCTGGGATCTTTATAGACACAGGCATGCCCATTTTTTCAGCAAATCCTGCACTACACACATCCCATACTCAGGTAACGCATTGTTCA